AGTCTCCTGCCTCAGCCTCCCAAGTAGCTGGGACCACAGGCGCCCGCCACAACGCCTGGCCATTTTTTTGGTTGCAGCCATCATTGTTTGGTGGGCCCGGGCTGGGGATTTGAACCCGCCACCTTAGGTGCATGTGGCTGGCGCCCTAGCCGCTTGAGCCACAGGCACCTAGCCAAAACTTTTAATTTTCTTTCTGCATTTTCTGCCTTCTTCTTCTTCTTCTTCTTTTTTTTTTTTTTTTTAAGAGATGGAATCTTACTTCTGTTACCTGGGCTAGAGTGCAGTGGCATCATCATAGCTCACCACAACCTCAAACTCCTGGGTCAAATGATTCTCCTTCCTTAGCCTGCTGAATAGCTAGGGCTGCAGGTACCTACCACTATGCCCAGCTACTTTTTCTATTTTTGTAGAGACTGGGTTCTTGCTCTGGTCTCGAACTCCTAGCCAGAAACAGTCTTCCTGCCTCAGCCTCCTGGATTGCTCAGATTATAGGCATGAGCCACCAAGCCCAGCCTGTTTTTATTTGTTTGTTTTTCTAAAGAAAATATGAGGGGGCCAGGCGTATGGCTCATACTTGTAATCCTAACACTCTGGGAGGCTGAGGCGGATTGAGGCTCAGGTGGATTGCCTGAGCTTAGGAGTCAGAGACCAGCCTGAGCAAAAGTGAGACTGAATCTCTAAAAATTAGCTGGGCATTGTGGCAGTCACCTATAGTCCCAGCTACTTTGGAGGCCGAGGCAAGAGGATTTGCTTGTGCCCAAGAGAATTTGCTGTGAGCTATGATGCCATGGCACTCTACCAATGGTGACAACATGAGACTATGTCTCAAAAAATTTAAAAAAATAAAGGTCTGTTCTGTCACTGAAGCTAAAGTGCAGTGGGCATGATCACAACTCACACTACCATGTTTCCCCCAAAATAAGACCAACCCCAAAAATAAGCCCTAGCAAGATTTCTATGCGTTTGTTAAATATAAGCCCTACCCTAGTGATGGGCGTGGCTATGCAGCATATATGCATAGCCATGCCATGCATTTCAGCACAGAGAGGTAAGGAAGACTGGAATACCTTTTATCTGCCACAGCTCCTTTCTTCGAGCTGTTTGCACTTGTGTGGGTGCGCGTGTGGTAATGGTCCCAGGCATTCTATTGCGCATGTGCGAATGGCTAGGGGAAAGGAGTTCACACATCATTAGTGCTGGCCCCACCAACAGGCTGGCTCCCTCTGTCAGGTTCCAGAAGAAGATGACTTAACTGTATTTGAATAAATGTAGATTTATTGTATTATATTTAATAAGACATCCCCTGAAAATAAGCTCTAGTGTGTCTTCTTGAGAAAAAATAAATATAAGATAGTGTCTTATTTTCGGGGAAACACGGTACCTATAGCCTGGAATTTCTAGGTTCAAGTGATCCTCCTTTGTGCCTTAGCCTCCTAAGTAGCTGGGACTACAGGTGTGAGCCACCATACCTGGGTAACATTTTCTTTTTATAAACGTGTTAACACAACGTTTCAGATATAAATGCTAGGAGCAGTGGACCTTTGTAATAATGACCGTACTATGTTTCTCACTGATAATTGATTCAAAAAGATTTAAACTAAGAAGTTAGGAATAGAAACTGCAAATAGATTTACAGTTCTTGCCTCCCTATCTGTGAAAAAAATCTAGAATTTGATCAGAGAAATTGTCCTATATTCTGTGTTTAGGGAGGCTATAACTGAGGAAGAAAAATTGACTATTTGAGGGAAAAATAGTTTACCTGTGCAAGTTCTTCTTTGCTAATACATGTCTAGTGAGTATAGCCTTAAAGAAGGAACAGCCTAAACTCCTGAAGGCAATAATTTATCAAAGTGAAAAGAGATAGAGCACCTTGATATTTATTGGCTTCAGGACAGGTTTAAGAATTCATAAATTTAAGGCTTTTAGGAGGAGGTTATAGACTTTGAAATAGGAATTTTGTTTTTTGGGGTTTTTTTTTTTTGAGACAGTCTCATCTTGTCGCCCTCGGTAGAGTGCCATCGCATCGTAGCTCACAACAACCTCAAACTCTTGGGCTTAAGCGATTCTCTTGCCTCAGCCTCCCAAGTAGCTGGGACTACAGGTACCCACCACAATGCCCCACTATTTTTGTTGTTGTTGTTGTTGTAGTTGTCATTGTTTGACAGCCCTGGGCTGGGTTAAAACCTCCAGCTCTAGTGTATGTGACTGGGGCCCTAGCCACTGAGCCTGAAACAGGAATTTTTTAAATGGTCTGCTCCCAAGGGAAAGTAGTATGTATTCATGAGGTCAGTTGTCTACTAAAGTAATAAGGCCCAGAAATTGAACTTCACTCAAGGTCATACCAGGCCAAACAATGAACTACCACTGGCTACCATTTTTCACACTGGAGATGGTATCTCTTTCATGGGTCTCAATCATTATTTTTTGAATGATATGGAATGGGAATTGTCAAGGTGCACATAGTATGATTAAGTATTGTGTTATATAGTATACACATACATAAATAAAATATATACTTGCCCAGCTACTTGGAAGGCAGAGGTAGGAGGATTGCTTGAGGCCAGAAGTTTGAGACCTGCCTGAGCAACATAGATTTGGTTGCTAAAAAGGTGGGTGCAATGGCATGCCCTTGTAATCCCACTATTTGGGAGGCTGTGAGGTAGGAGGATTTCTTGAGCCCAGGAATTTAAGACAAATCTGGGTGATATAGGGAGGCCCTGTCTCAAAAAAAAATTTTTTTTATATATACTCACACACATGTGCATTGAAGAGGTCAGAAAGAAATGAGTCAGTGCTAGGCTTTTAGAAAATCTGAATACAGGCCTGTAGAAGTAAAGAGTGAAGGAAAGACTAATTGTGATTAGAAAAATCTTTGGGTAGGATAGAATTATAGAATTGTGCCAAGGATCTGTACCAGATACTTTATAATAATTTCAGCCATCTTATAATGGTATAAAGCAGGTATTATTTTATAGATTAAACATGGTAGAGGAGGCCAGGTATGGTGGCTCATGCCTATAATCCTAGCACTCTGGGAGGCCAAGGTGGGTGGATTGCCCTGAACTCAGAGGTTCAAGATCAGCTTGAGCCAGAGTGAGACCCCATCTCTATAGAAAAAATAAATAAAAATTTAAAAATATATAAAAATAAACATGGTAGAGAAATTTAACTTGTTCAGAATCACTTATAAAACACAGAGCTAGAAATACTCTTCTAAAAAGTCATGCCCTCTTTTGCTGGTGAAAGAGAGAAATCTAAGTAACACATTGGTAATAGAAGTAGAAGAAAACAGGACCAGGCGTGGTGGTTCATGTCTGTAATCCTAACACTCTGGGAGGCCAAGGCAGGTGGATTGCTTCAGCTCAGGAGTTTGAGACCAGCCTGAGAAAAAGTGGAAGAAAAAACAACTGACAGTCATGGGATCCTAAAATAGCTAGTATTGGCAAGTGGTTGCTTCCTAGTACCAAACCAAAAATTAGATTTCTTCACCTTCTGTGGTGTGACCTATAAAAGTAATTACTTTTCAAAGAAATTAGCCTCAGTCATGGTAGGTTCTAGCCAGTACCAAAGGTATTTAATTCTGGTTTCATATTTTCCTTTTGTCCTAGGCATCCTGTACTGATGGGAGACTTTTCAAGCATTTGGAGACAATTTGGCGTTTTAGCCCAGGTCTTCCTGGCTACCCAAGAACGTGTACCTTGGATTTTTCAGTAAGTCTCTTCATAAAACCCTTGATTGTTCCACACATGAGGTAAAGTTGGTAAAGAAATAATAGACCAGGTGTGATAGCTCACCCCTATTATCTTAGCACACTGGGAGACTGAGGCAGGTGGATTACTTGAGCTCAGGAGTTCAAGACCAGCCTGAGCAAAAGTGAGACTCATATCTACTAAAAATATAAAATAAAGTAGCTCAGCATAGTGGCACATGCCTGTATTCACAGCTACTTGGGAGGCTGAGGCAAGAGGGTTGTTTGAGTCTAAAAGTTTGAGGTTGCTGTGAGCTATGATGACTCCATGGTACTCTACCCAGGGCAACAGAGTGAGACGCTGTCTCAAAAAAAAACAAAAAACCCCATAACAGTTTTTTCATTCATTCATTCATTTATTTATTTATTTATTTTGAGACAGAGCCTCAAGCTGTTCCCCTGGGTAGAGTGCCATGGCTTCACTGCTTACAGCGACCTCCAACTCCTGGGCTCAAGCGAGTCTCCTGCCTCAGCCTCCCAAGTAGCTGGGACCACAGGTGCCGCCACAACGCCCGGCTATTTTTTGGTTGCAGCCATTATTGTTATTTGGCGGGCCTGGGCTGGATTCAAACCCTCCACCTTAGGTGTATGTGGCTGGTGCCTTAGCCGCTTGAGCCACAGGCGCTGAACCTATTTATTTATTTTTGAGACAGAGTCTCACTCTGTCACCCTCAGTAGATTGCTGTGGCATCACAATTCAAGCAACCTCAAACTCCTGGGCTCAAGCGATTCTCTTGCCTCAGCCTCCCAAATAGCTGGGACTACAGGAGTCTGCCAGAATGCTTGGCTATTTTTATTTTATTTTATTTATTTATTTATTTTTTTTTGCAGTTTTTGACCTAGGCTGAGTTTGAACCCGCCAACTCTGGCATATGGGGCCGGCACCCCACTCCTTTAAGCCACAGGCACCACCAGCGCTCAGCTATTTTTTATTGCAGCTGTCCTTGTTGGTTAGCTGGCCCTAGCCAGGTTCCACCCTGCCAACTTCGGTGTACGTGGCTGGTGTCATAACCACTGTGCTACTGGTACTGAGCCCTTAATAACAGTTTAATACCAAATTAAACTACATATAGGTGTATAAGATACAGAAATAAAGTACAAAGAGGAAAAATGCATTTTTAGTACACAGAGACTTGTGGCCATGTGGTAGCTTACACCTGTAATCCTAGCACTCTGGGAGGCCAAGGCAGGTGGATTGCTTGAGCTCACAAGTTTGAGACCTGCCTGGGCAAAAACCAAGACCCTGTCTCTACTAAAAATAGAAAAAAAACTGAGGCAAGAGGATCACTTGAGCCCAAGAGTTGTTGGTTGCTGTGAACTATGATGTCATAGCACTCTACTCAGGACAACAGCTTGAGACTGTCTCACAAAAAAAAAAAAAAAAAATAGAACATAGAGACTTGTAACTTTTTTGTTCATATCCCCTTAGTTATAGAAAATGTAAAGCCACCTATGGTTTTGTCTTTGCCAATAGGTAATATATGAATTGTTTTCTAAACATGAGTCTTAGGCATTAAATCTTAAGAAATGCTAATAATTTTGACTAAATTATTATATGCTGCTTTCAGCTCTTTTTGGGGGGTGAGGGGAGGCCAAGGTGGATGAATTGCCTGAGCTCAGGAGTTAAAGATGAGCCTGAGCAAGACTGAGACCCTATCTCCACTAAAAATAGAAAAACTAGCCAGGCGTTGTGGCAGGCACCTGTAGTCCCAATAACTTGAGAGGCTGAGGCAAAAAAATCACTTGAGTATAAGAGTATAAGGTTGCTCTTTAAGTATAAGTTGAGTGTAAGTATAAGACACCATGACACTCTACCCCACAACAGAGTAAGACTCTGTCTCAAAAATAAATAAATTAAATAAGGAAATATTGATAATAGGTATATGAGAATTCTTTGTTACTGTTTTTGTAGTTTTTTACAAAAATGAAATTTCAGAATGAAAAGTGAAAACATCTTAAAATTTGGAGGATATTTTATCCTTGAAACACTATTTCTGAGCATGGTAGCTCAATCATACTTGTAATTCTAGCACTTTAGGAGGCCAAGGCAGAAGGATGGCTTGAGGCCAGGAGTTCAAGACAAGCCTTGTCCGCATAGTAAGACTCCATAGCTAGAAACAGATTTAAAAATTAGCCACACATGGTAGTATATACCTGTAATCCTCGCTACTTGGGAAGCAAAGGTGGGAGGACCCCTGAGCCCAGGAATTTGAGGTAATAGTGAGGTACACTCTTGCCACTGCACTTCAGCCTGGGTGACAGACCGAGATCTTGTGTGTAAAAAACCAAAACAGGCTGGGCACCTGTAGTTTAGTGGTTAGGGCACCAGCCACATGTTCCAGGGCTGGTGGGTTCGAACCTGGCCTGGGCCTGTTAAACAACAACAACAACAAAAATAGCCGGTGTTGTGGCGGGCTTCTATAGTCCCAGCCACTTGGGAGGCTGAGGCAAGAGAATCCCTTGGGCCCAAGAGTTTGAGGTTGCTGTGAAGTATGACGCCACAGTACTCTACCCAGGGCAACAAAGTGAGACCTTGACTCAAAAAACAAACAAATAAATGACCAAAACAAAAAACCACGCTATATCTCATAGAAGTTGCCTTGAATTCTCTATCAACAATGAGAAGGTATAAATAAAGTTCTAAATCATTGGCTACCTATACCAGTCTGACTGAGCTACCTACACTAGCTGCTTTGTGGGTCAGGCGTGGGTGTATGTGTGCACATAAGCAATCTCATCTTCTTGCTAATACTTTTTTTTTTTGAGACAGAGTCTCACTCTGTCCCCCTGGGTAGAATGCTATGGCATCATCGTAGCTCACACCAACTTCAAACTCTTGGACTCCAGGGATCCTCTTGCCTCAGTCTCCTGAGCAGCTGAGACTACAGGCATGCATACAATGCCTGGCTAGTTTTTCTATTTTTAGTAGAGACAGGGTCTCACTCTTACTTAGGCTGGTCTTAAACTCCTGAACTCAAGCAGTCTACCCACCTTAGCCTCCCAGAGTGCTAGGATTATAAGGATGAGCCACCACTCGCAGCCATCCTGCTAGTACTTCTCGTAGAAATGATACATATGAGAAGGATCACTTCCCTTATTTCCTTTTTTGCTGAGGTAGGATGGATCCAAAAGGGGCACATTACCAAAAAGCCACAATGATAAATGTATTCACCAAAGCTTTCTTTCTTTTTTTTTTTTCTGAGACAAGGTCTAGCTGTTTCCCAGGCTAGAGTGCAATGGTGTCATCAGAGTTCACTGTAGCCTCAAACTCTTAGGCTTAAGTGATACTCTTGTCTCACCCTTGTACCTAGCTAGGACTACTAGTGTGTGCCATCACACACTAATTTTTAAAGTTTTCTTATAAAGACAGGGCCTCGCTCTTATGCAGGCTGGTCTTGAGCTCCTGGCCGTCCTGTCCAAGCAGTCCTCCCATGTTGGCTTCCCAAAGGGCTAGGATTATGGGTGTGAGCTACCAGGCCCAGAGCTCACCAAAGTTTTCCAGCCTTCTTTAGCTTAATAACAGGCAAATGCTCCCTTGAAATAAGATTCATTGGCCTTACTGCCTTAAGCTTTTGTGCCCCCGGTTATGCTTATTGCAGTTAAAAAGATTATGTCTTCTGAAGAATGCTAACATTCTCACCTAGGTATATCAACACAGCTCTACTTTAAATACTTAGTTCGCAGTGGAAATTTCCTAAGTGGAAATTTAGTTTTTTTTTTCAAGTTTTTATGACTTTTATTAAATCCTTACAAAACAGAATACAAAATTCTGGCATTGACAGTTGGTGGAAAGGAAAACTTTGAGCTCTATCAGTTCACCTGGTACAATGGAATTAAAGCAGTTGGGTGTTTTTTCCCCTTAAAAAAATGTTGAGGTTTGTTGTTGTTGTTGTTGTTGTTTTTAAAAATAGCTTAACATTGATACGTGGCCATCTAGGCCCAGGCTCTCCAGGATCTTCTGCTCATTCACAGTAACGTTCTGACCAGCCCTCCAGGTGGCCATGTGACAGGGTAGGGGGGAGAGGGAGGAAGTGACTGTCCCATCTTCAGAAAAACAAAGCTTCTAGCTGCTCAGCTTTCCAGATACAATGACCATTTGCTTGTTCTTTTATACAAAAAGGCAGAAAATCCCCAGTTGCAAAAGAGAGATGACAAGGGGTCTTTGGAAAGGCCATCCAGAGATATAGGCAGGCAGGGGACTAGGGAGGACATGTCACCCCCACCAGCCACCACAGACTATGACAATTGTAGGAGACTTGGGAGGGGGAGGGGAGGTTAGGCCGAAGGTGTCTGAACTCACCACCCACAGGCCCCTCCAACATTAAAGTATTCTTCAAGAACAGGGAAGTAAAGTCAACTGCTGTTTTCTTTAAAAAACTAACTAAACATGACAAAAATCCCCGACCATAGATTTAGAGGCCAGAGGGGCTACCTCAGGAAACACCTGAGCACAACCCAGGACTGGGCTGGCCTGGAGGGGACACCCCAGCTACCACCACCCTGACCAGCAGAGCCATATGTGCACATAGAAAATGGAAACTCGTATTGCATAGTACTTTACTGCCAGAGCTCGGAGTTGGGAGACAAAGCAGACCTTTCCCCACCATTCCTGGGTGCCTGAGGCCATGGTAGTTGCGGCTGTTTTCCTGAAGGTGGGCAGACTGAAAACACTGCCCTCACAGGTGATGGGATACAATGGGACCCCCAGGTCTGACCCCAGCTTTAGTGATGGGGAGAGGGCTGACAGCTTCCATTCCAGACCCGAAGGGGGGCACAGGGGCAGGACGTGGCCATGGTCAGACTGAGCCCTGAGAAGGAGCACTCAGGTGCCCAGAAGGGGTGTCTTGGGGACCCCCAGGTTGGCTGTTGGGTGCCTGTCCAGCCCCTCCTACCCACTTTGGTGTGGCAGATCCCTGGCTCCTGCCGCTTCAGTCCCTGGTGGGGCAGCAGGTCAGCTGCAATTTAAGGTGAAGGTCAGAGGCTGAGTCCTGCCATCAGGGGCCTGGATAGCCAATCCTGGAGGAAGCCCTGAATGTCAACTCTCAGGAGGACGGAGAACTTGGGTGAAGGGCGGGGGGACGGGGAGGGATGCCTTCCCCACTGCCTGCCCATACCCAGGCCTACCGTCTTGAGATAGGGGGCCCCCTGTCCCTGCCAAACCACCAGGGGTGTCTGGAGTGAGGGATAAAGGAGCTGCTATTCCATGACAGGAGGGGGAAGGAGAGCTGTCCCTGAAAATACTGAGGGCTGGGGAGGCAGACATGGGGGAAGGGTGTCCGGGGCCCCCCAGCTCAGGAAGATGGCAAATTGTCTAGAAGCGGGCTTTCCTGAGTCACTGTGCAAGCAACGGGGTTAAGGAGGGGATGGCAGGGTGCAGGTGACCTGGGCAGCGGGGCATACCAGACCTTCAAAGTGTAGGTGAGCTTGGGGAGAGTAGAAACCCAGCCACACACACCCTCTGCTCTCCTCCCCATCAAAAGGAAAAAAACAAAAGGAATGAGGAGGTGGGAATAGGAAAAAAAGGGGAAAAAAACCCCAAACCCAGCCCCTCAGCTGGGCTTAATGCCTAGGAATGCAGCCAGGGGGAGCAGCTCCGAATAGTTTAGATGAGGGGGGCACCTATGTACAGAGGGAAGGTGGGAGGGCGTCAGATGCCAACTGGGCGCAGCAGACAGGCTGGCTCTCTGCCTCTGCTGGGCCAGCTTGGACTCTGAGGGTGGGGGCAGCTGTAGGCAGCGTGAGGTAGCTCAGACGAGGACAGGCTGGTGGCCCTGCCCCAAAGCCTCCTCCTCCTCCAAGTCCTCTTCACGTTGGGCCAGCTGCAGGTTCATGGCAATGGCCTCAGCTGCGAAGGACATGAAACCTTTGGCACAGCTGTTCCCCCTGCACCTAGGGGTGCTGTAGGACTTGGGCAGCGCTCAGCTGCCGCTTGGCATTACAGACAAGTAGCTTAGAGATAAGGTCTTTGGTGGCAAAGGAGATGTGAGACCAGTCCTTATCGGGGCACTCATATTTGCCCTCCTGGATGCTCTGGAACAACATATTCTGGAAGGCGGGGCAGGCCTTGCTGTAGTCCCAGCCACAGTAACCCATAAATGATGGATAGCCGCTGAGCAGGACATACAGGATGATGCCCAGGTTCCACAGTTAGCAGCCCTTGTCATTAGATGCTAATCTCCTCGCTGAAGGCCTCCACCACTTCTGGAAATTCAGTTTTTAACTGGGTGCAGTGGCTCACGTTCCTGTAATCCTAGTTCTCTGGAAGGCTGAGGCAGGAGGATTGCTTGAGCTCAGGAGTTTGAGACCAGCCTGAGCAAGAGTGAGACCTGATCTCTACTAAAAGTAGAAAAACCAAGGTAAGAGGATTACTTGAGCCCAGGAGTTTGAGATTGCTATGAAGTATTATGATACTATGGCACTCTACCCAGGGCAACAGAGTGAGACTATGTCTCAAAAAACAAAAAAAAAAGAAATAAAGAAAATCTTTCTAAAAATTATTACATTTTCCTACAGATTTCTTTTGAATTTCGCTCACTTCTACACTCTCAGCTTGCCACATTGTTTTTTGATGAAGTTGTAAAGCAGATGGTGGCTGCCTTTGAGAGAAGAGCATGTAAGCTATATGGTCCAGAAACAAATATACCTCGGGAGTTAATGCTTCATGAAGTTCATCACACGTAAAAGAAAGGAAGAGCTGGTGTCATATACTTACAACTTCAGTTTGTTCACTTTTAAGATCTTAGTGCTTTCATGATTTTTTTTCAGAAGTCAGAAAGCATTTGTTAAATTCAGCTTTGATTATAAACCTGCACCGTTGAAAATTTGCACATAGCGTGTGGACCCACTCTTACATAGAATTGTCTTCAATCAGGTGTAATTGTGACAAATATGTTCATTATCATGTTCTGCATTTACAGTAATGGGATGTCATCACCACTGGTAGAATATTGACATTATTCTTCTGAGCAGAAATTGAAAATACAGATTTAAACCTTTTAATGAAAGTATTTAGTTGAGGTTCTCACACAGCATGTATTATATTAACCATATCACGCTTAAGTTATTAAATTCAGTCTATTTGTAACTTATTGTTATATGGCCTTCTCGTGGCTTAGGATATTTTGAGTAATCATCATATATTTAAAGTAAAAACTTTGATTTAAAAGTACTGTTAATGAAGGTTCCTGACACTTTAGTTATTTTTAAATTGCTCTTACAGGTGGTAGTAGATAATTCAGTGCCATCATGAGGTTAGCTCCCAGATAAACAGTGAATTTTGTTTTTGTTTTTGGTAAGTAGTCCAGAATAGCTGCCTGTTCCTAGTAGTTTGCAGCCTTCTTCCAGGTACTTCGGCTGCTCTTTTAATAATGCTACTTTTGTGTCAAACTTTGTTTACTATGGGTAGGCAACAGATGAAGATGAGTTTGTTGATATGTCTCTAACAATATGTATCTCTATTTTCTATTTATTGTGTGTACTCACTTATAATAATGTATTTCAGACTGATATTTTTTAAACAAATCAATGTAAGGACTGAAAGAACAACTTAATAAAGTTAATTTGTTTATTTTTTTTGTACAGTTATTTTGGTTATTGAAATCTTCCTATATTGTTTCATTGTGTACGTATGTAGACATAGTAAAGTGTCATTATAGCATTTCATGTCTTAAAAATACTTTCATAGACATAGACGGATCTGGGCAAAATCCAGTCTTCTTTAATCTATATTGATCTTCATACCCTCTAATCCTCTTGCTTTAAACTTCCAGTAATAATGCTGTTAATTTTATTTCCTCAGTAATTAATTGGCTACATAAATGGTATGTTTGTGCATGAATTTGTTCAGTTAATCTTTTTTGACAACCTCCTTTCTCTTTTGACATGGGGTATACAGTGGTGAAGAACTCACATGGAACTTGGTTGTCAAGTAGATTTCCACTCACACATGATGTATCTGCCCAGAGCATAAGTAGTTTGAATATAATTATGTGCCTTTAAATTACAAAGTATTTTACAAATGGCAAAGTCATTTAAAGTTTTTTCAAAATAAAACTCAAGATTTTTGATCTTTCCCTTTACTGTGTTACTTCTCTTTTTATGGAATAAGAACTTGATAACTGCTTTTATAAATGCTTTATAAAGGTAAACTTCTAGTTTCAGAATCTTAAGTCATTGGTGTTACCGGAATTTCTTTCTGCAGTAGGTCCTTGGTCTCCGGTATTTGAAGAATGAACCTACAGACCACAATCAGTTGTAAGATAGGATTTATTAGACAGAAAGGAACGTAGAAGGAATAAAAAGTACCAGAGCTTCTGACAGAGGGAGAGACCCAGTGGGAAGTCTCCCTCTGAGGGTCCTTTGTCTTAGGGATATATGGTCTTGAGAATTATACTTGGCCAGGACTTCCTAGGTGGGAGACACTTTTTCAGTGTTAATGAGCATATGAATGAATGCAGTCCTTCCAGCTCTGGGCAAATGGCTAGCTGGCCCTTCATGAAATTGCCCAGGTCTAGGAAACTGGGGTTCCCTGTCTAGCCTTGAATAGGGGAACTTTGTATCATTGGGATATAACTGGGCTTGGTATTACTAGAATATGAAGCTAGCATTTTGGTCAAGGAACTCAGTAAGACAAACACTGCTTTGATCTAGCTTGTGGGATTCCCCAAGCATGGTCATGATAGGCAATGAACAAGAGAAAAGAAAGACAATGTTGGCTTCAGGTTTGCCAGGGTACTTACTAGTAATGTGCTGAATTTTATCTCATATTTATTTATTAACAGAAAAAATAAAAGGCAAAGATTCATGGTGAATGTTAAGGAAATTTTAAACTCAAGACTAAACTAAGTTGCCTACTCCAGTCTCTCAAGTTCTTGAAATTGGTTCTTGTATTTTTTTTTTTTTTTTTTTTTGAGATGGGGTCTCAATGTCACCCTAGGTAGAGTGCTGTGGTGTTATAGCTTACAGCAACCTCAAACTCTTGGGCTCAAGAGATCTTGCCTCAGCCTTCTGAGTAGCTGGGACTACAGGCACTTGCCACACCTGGCTAGATTTTCTATTTTTAGTAGAGATGTGGGTCTCTTACTCAGGCTGGTCTTGAACTCATGAGCTTATGCATCCTCTTGCCATGGCCTCCCAGAGTGCTAGGATTACAGGCGTGAGCTACCGTGCCTAGCCCAATGGGTTCTAATTCTAAACATTGTAATATTTAAGAACATTCTTAGTTTTCTTATATTAACTCAAATGTTCTTTATACAGCAGCTACAGTGGGCATTTGAGTAGAATGTAACAATGGGATCCTGGGACTTTGTAGGTTAAGTGTTAGTGTCAGAGTTATGTATCCTGGATTTCATCTGATTCTACACAGCATTTTATTTTTACTCCAAGAAAGCCAGGCCTGGCTAGATATTTTTCTGAGGGTAATTTTGTGATATTTTTCTTTCTTCTCCTTTGTCTATAAGAGTTTATATATGATTATGTAGATCTCTGGGATTTCAATAGGGGTGAAACCTAAGTTTAAGGCTCAAGTTTTTAGGCATTTAAAAAATTTTTTGCTTTGCAAACTTATATAGCATTATGTGCCAGGCACTGTTTTTTGTTTGTTTGTTTTAATTTTATTTATTTATTTTTTGCAGTTTTTGGCCGGGGCCAGGTTTGAACCTGCCACCTCCAGTATATAGGGCCGGCACCCTACTCCTTGAGCCACAGGCACCACCCCACCAGGCACTGTTTTAAATGCTTTATAAACATTTAATCCTAATGACTTTTGGAGGTAGGCAGTATTATCCCCGTTTTACGTATAATGAAAGAAATAGAGAGATAAGTAACTTTACAAAGGTAACAATAATGGTAGAACTTGATAAAACCCTACATACTTTGGTTCTCTCTATGCTGTCACATTTGCTTTATCTAGTCCAACAGTATTCAGGCCATGACCTGTGGACTTCCAAGTTTGGCACCTATGATTCCCATATGGTAAGGGGGAAAATACCACTTTATAAACTTTTTGAAAATAGCATCTGGCCAGTGAATCTGAAAAGACTGATGGGATAGGGGATGGGACTGCTAGGTAAGAAGGAAACTTGGAAGAGAGAATTCTCTTCCTTGGTTTTTGCTTGGTAGGAGACATGAAGTTTACGTCTACATACATCTACCTTCTTGTCGCTATAAGGGAAATGGCAAAATAACTGCAGACAAGTCAATTCAGAATTCTAAAACCAACCTCAGAGTTGCCCCTTTGCACTTCTGGTCATGTGAAATTAACAGACTTCTCTTCTAGGGTTTAAGTCACTTCAGTTGAGCATTTACTTATAGCCAGCTACTCCTTTCTCCTGCTCCAATCCAAAGTGGTTGCCCTACAGGATGCCATCTTCCTAGGATTTTCCTTCATCCCTTTCTGGGTCCCCAATTTCATGAATCTTTTGGCTTCCTCTTATTTTATCCTCTCAAAAAACTGAAAGAAATCCTCTAGTGGCTCCCAAGAAAGTGCAAGTGAGAGTCCTTAAGTTATTTATTTTTTAGGGACAGAGTTTCACTTTATTGCCTTCGGTAGAGTGCAGTGACATCACAGCTCACAGCAACCCCCAACTCCTGGGCTTAGGTGATTCTCTTGCCTCAGCCTCCAGAGTAGCTGGGACTACAGGTGTCCACCACAATGCCTGGCTAGTTTTTGTTGCAGTTTAGCTAAGGTCAGGTTCAAACCTGCCCCCTTGGTATATGTATGGGGCTGGTACCCTACCCACTGAGCCACAGGCACCGCCCAGTGGCATTGTTTTAGATTCATACTTGGAGAGGACAACACTCAAACTAGAACTTTTTATGTATGTACATATTTATATTTCTAGACAGTCTTACTCTGTGCCCTGGGCAGAGTGTGGTGGCATTATCATAGCTGGTCTCAAACTCCTGAGCTTGAGCAGTCCAGCTCCAGCCTCTCCCTGAGTGTTAGGATTACAGGTGTATAGTCCCTGTGCCCAGCCCAAATCAGAACTTTTTATTAAAAGGCTGAGAATCCCAGAGTTTGGAATTTAGGTTTGCTCTTAAATCTAACTTCAGCTCCTTTGTCTTACTGTTTCCTTTGGTGTCTCAGACCATGTCTTTGCTCTTTGATTTCTACAGATAATTAACCTCCAATTTCCTAGGGGCAGGCCAAGTCATGGGGAGAACTGGGGAGTCTACCATCTCATTAATACCCTTCAGCTAATTTCACCCACATTTTCAGTCCTTTATTTGGCTTTAACTGAGCTCCTACTCAGGAAGTTCTGTGGGATAATTAGCTTGCTTCCTGTTTTCCATTCTTGAGGTTCTTAAGGTGTAAGTTCCCTAACTCAGTACTAAGTTACCATTTTTCTGTCCATTTTCTGCCTTCCTAAAGTCTCACTGATATCCCTCTTTGGCAGCTGTCTCTTTTCTTTGTAATTTGTTTCATTACTATCTATATTCAGTGAGAGTTTAAGGATAGGTCAAAAGGATAGTGAATACACACCATTTTCTTTTAGCAGTTCCATTCACTTTATTCTTGGGTCTCACTCCATCACTCAGGTTATAACTCAGCCTCAAACTCCTAGGCTCAAAAGATCCTCCCACCTCAGCCTCATGTCTCCCAGCCTGTTACACAGATCTTGTGCCTTCAACGTATAATCAGTAAAAATCTAGAAAGCAGCACATTTACATCTTACAATAAGTATATGCTCCCAGTGTACACACCCAGGTGAACTATTTAAGAACCTAGTCCAGGTATGGTGGTACAAGACCATCCTGAGAAAGATCTAGATGCCAACTCTACATAAATAGAAAAATTAGCCAATTATAGAGACACAGCTGTAGTGTCAGCTATTGAAGAGGCCAAGGTTGGCCAGGCACAGTGGCTCATGCCTATAATCCCAGCACGCTGGAAGGCTGAGGTGGGTGGATTGCTTAAGCTCGTAAATTAAGAGACCGGCCTGAGCAAGACTGAGACCCAGTCTCTAATAAAAATGAAACACTGAGGCAAGGAGATCACTTGAGCCCAAGAGTTTGAGGTTGCTGTGAGCTGTGATGTCAAAGCACTCTACCAAGGGTGACAAAGTGAGACTGTCTCCAAAAAGAAATATATAAAATAAGAGGCCAAGGCAGGAGCACAGCTTGAGCCTAAGAGTTTTGAAGTTGCAGTGAGCTGTGAATACCACTCTAGCCTGGGTGACACAGTAAGACCATTATTAAAAATAGTATAATCCTGCACTCTGGGAAGCCAAGGTGGGTGGATTGCTTATGAGTTTGAGACCAGCCTGAGCCAGAGCAAGACCTCAAAATAACCTGGTGTTGTGGTGGGCGCCTATATTCCCAGCAACCTGAGAGGTAGAGGCAAGAGAATCGCTTAAGCCCAGGAGTTTGAGATTGCTGTGAACTGTGATGCCACAGCACTCTACCCAGAGTGGTATTTTAAGACTGTCTCCAAAAAAAAAAAAAAAAAAAAGAAAAGAAAAAAATAATGGCACGTTGCCTTTTCATATGACCAGGCTTCCACATACTTAAAATTATTCCTGTAGGTTTTAACAGGGTGATTGATGTCTGTAAAAATTTCCTCCAAGGCCAGGCACAGTGGCTCACACCTGTAATTCTAGTTCTCTGGGAAGCTGAGCTGAGTGGATTGCTTTAGCTCCAGAGTTTGAGGTTGCTGTGAGCTATGATACCACAGCACTCTACCCTGGGGTGACAGTGAGACTCAAAAAGAAAATTTCCCCCAGTTGCCAACTTAATAATGTGATTCAGTCAGCAACAAAGAGAAACATGAAAATACTATATAGGTGGTATAATGTTTTACACTGTCAGCCCTGCCCCACTATTCAATTTGCTTTCATTTCTATATTCTAGATCATGGAAATACACAATTAACTTTAAACAAATTTTTATTACACAAAGGTTGTCACATAATTGGATATTTCTCTACTTTGTACACAATTATTCTTACTCTCCACAGAAAGGCTGCTTCTTAACTTTTCATCTGGTGATGGCAAGCACTAAAATTCTGATTTTAACAGAACAGTAGTAAAAATGCCTCAGTGATTTAAGTTGAAAGCAGTACACTGGTATATGGCTCTTGCACCCAGTATCAGGAATGTACAAATGTCTTTTTATTCAAAAATACAAAATAAATTATCTGTAGGCATGGACAATGGATGACAGCAGTAAACCATTATATTTGTCAACTGAAACCAGTTACTGATGGTTATAGTGATTTGCTTAAACATCAGCCAGCCTTTTCTTCACTTTCTCCAACTGACTTCTCTGAAGTTATTGGTAAGGAACACTGCCTTGAGCTTCCTGTCACAGTTCATTAATGGTAAAGCACTACTCTAGGAATTAGAACATGCCACCTCCCATACCACCTCCCATGCCACCCATTGCACCCATTCCAGGGTCCTTCTCTTCTTTAGGAAGTTCTGTGACTACAACTTCTGCTGTAGTTAACAGAGAAGCCACCCCAGCAGCATC